AGTAGAGAAACTGGAGGAGAATTGACTGCACAGAACTGCAGACCCACGGACAGGGCTGCCTTCTCCAAGTGGAGATACGAGAATCTCTTCCCCGTGGTTCTGAAGAACAAATGTAAAACTTCCTTTCAAAGGCTTCTGAGAGTAGGAAGCTGCTTAGCAAGCAGGATAATTCATCCCATGGCGGGACGCTCCTGTGATAAAGAGGTCCTCTAGCGAGGTGGCCTGACAGCTGTCTAGCAGGTTCTGTCCACTCTGGTGTTCGCTGTATCTCCCAGGACAACCCCAATCGAACCAATTCCCCCATCCCTACGAAAGCCCTTCAGGTGTCTGCTGAGCTTTGTCTCTTGTTCACGTGTGGCGATTAACTGTTCGGGGCCTTCCATGAAAGGAGCTGAATTTCTCTATGACGCACGTGCAGCAGGCCCAAGTGCCTCACGTTTACAGAGGGGAGTGAAGGGATGGACAAGGATACACAGAGTCCAAGGCCAGAAGTTGCCTTTTAGCATATTATCAAGCTTACTGACTTCTCCCAATCAAACAGGCAAAGAGGACCAGGTGTTCCAAAGAATTTGGGTGGAGAAAATGACAACTCATATATAATGGATAATGCAAAAACAGGAAATGAAAGAGTGATGGCGGAATTTTTAAAAAGATCTAGAGTTAGAGCAATAAAACTGAAATCTCCAATAAATGATCCAGTTATCACATAACTTTTAAATGAAATTCTAAAAATTTTGGAATTGGACTTGCATCCCCATGCAAACCAGTCCCCCAGCTCCCCAAGTGGGTGAAGCTCAACAAGCCTGCCTATCTTGTGCCAGGGCCAGAGTTTCTCAACCCCACCAAGGAGCTCTCCAGACCTGGGACCACTGCATCTCACAGAAGGGTCACACAGTTCTAATTAGAATGGTCTCAGAAGAATGAAAGGCAGGGGAAGTCTGTACTTTATTTGCTGAAGAATAAAGTGCCACAAATGCACGTTTCTAAAGTGAGTCATCTCTTACAAGGTGAACATCTGCTTTACTTCTACTAATAAATTTCACCTACTAGCTCATTTAAAATTAAAGAGCCAAAATGAGTTGTAAAATATGAGTATGTTAAAGAAAAAAAGACTCAGTTTTAGGCTGCCACTAAAGCCTAGGGTGAGATTTTATAGAAAATTCTGGTGACGTTTTTATGGGAGACGCATATACAAAGTCCTACAAGCAGGGATTTATATGATGAAAGAATTCTCTAGAATACTATGATGGCCAGGAGATAATTAACATTTTATTTTAGTTTATAGAGAAACTGGCAGTTACTTTTTGTTCCTAGGATAAAATTTGTGGTGCGACTGAGAAAATGGCAAGAATATTTACATGAAAGGGAAGACAAATTTCTGTAGAGACACAACTTCTCTGTATCTGCCCAAGAAAATTCTATGAAATAGCCCCTAAAAGGATCACTTTTTTTTCTGCCAAAGTGATTTTTATACCATTTTCCCCCCCTAGGTGGCAGTATGGCATAAAAAGAGACTGACCCCAGACCCACCAGCCATTCCAGGATTCAAAGATCACTAATAGGGAAGATACAAGGGAAAATACTTAATAAGGTATCAGAGTAGAGAAACAGTTCTTTTACAGGCAGTAAAGGGTACTCACTGGTTCCACGTTGTACGAAAAAAGAGCATATTCTTTATCTGGGGATATTTCGTATCTGACGGCTCTTAACGATTCCTAAAAGAGAAAAGAAATGAAGAATTTTCAAAATTTCCTAATAAAATCAGTGTGCAGCAAACTTGCTAAAGTCTATTCAAAATGGCTAATCCTTTCTTTGTTCACTGATGCTCTTTTATGTATTATTCGTATTTATTTTCCAATCTCAACAAAACAATACTTAACTGTATCTACTGAAACAAATCATTAGAAAAAAATATAAAAACAACCTTTGCCCACAAAGCTCCCAATCTCTTTGTATCTTTAAACACACTTTCCTTTGCTCATTCTTACACGTAGGGGATTTGTTCCTAAAATAGACACGTTCTACACATTATTTCACAACTTGCCTTTTCACCGTCATGGACACGGACCCACAAGTCTGTATATAAAGGACTAGCTATCATTTATCCCTTGGAATTCAAGTACACTGGTGATTTTACATAAATGAAATGATCAGAAATGCTCTGTTCACCTAGAGCCCCTCCACCTTCTCTGCTCCACTCACACTGCTGCACAGACCCCCACTCCCACTGGGAAGAACGCCCTGCTGCCCACCTGGTGTGTGCCCCTCTGTGGGTGATCGTACAGCCACGGGAGAATGTACCACAGCTAAAAGTAGGTCATGGACACCTCTCTCACCCCTGGGGCTCGCATGTGGCAGTTGGTCTAGCCTGGATTAGTGATCTCCAAAGCTTGCACGTTTAAAGCACCATATTCCATGGTGCAGATGTATCTTAATTTACTCAGTCCACACTAATGGGTGGCTGCGTAGGATTCTTGTTATTCACGGCAGTTATGCTCCTGAAAATCTCCACAAAACATGGAATCAAACTGCTCCTAGAGGAAATTCAGGGTTAGGTTCCTGCCAGCCTCTGGTCACAGCATTTTGTCACCCAGATCGTATGTACTGACATAACATTGTCTGAGGTGTGTTTCTGTTTAAACACATCTGACTGAATACGTATTGTTGACTCATTTACACCAAACCAACGGTTAACAGCACTGCAGCTCATGCCTGAACGTAACTCCCCTAATATGCGTTTTCTCCCTAAGGCACAGAACAGCCTTACTGGCATCAGGAACACCAGCCTGCCCTTCCGCATTATTCGTGGGGGCCATTTAAATGGCATAAACATGAACAAAAAGCATGAAAATGTGAAAAACATGGCACCACACAGACCACAAAGGGATCACGTGTCTTCAATATAAGCGCTGAGACCGGAAGGCAGTGGGCAGCTCAACTTTCGCCCCTATGCACATGTTGCAGACACTCCAAGCAAGGTGAGTACTATTCTGGGGTGAAAGATTTTAGCTGCGGCCACTAGGAATGAGGAGGCGGGGCTGGGACGTGCTCTGCCTGCCGCTGGTACACACCACGTGGCAGGAAAGCTACTCATCCAAGTGTCTCTCCTGGTGCGCTCCTGGTTTTAATGCTTTTATAAGGATAGGTATCTCAGGGTGGGGTTGATGATTTACAAGTTTTTAAAAAATGTAAAGAGACATGGCCAAATTGCTTTTCAAAAATGCTTCTGGAATAAAGCCGCCCCTGCTGCTGTGGGAATGCAGCCTGTCCTCCCCTCTCTGGCAGCAACCGGTGTCCCTGTCTTTCCACTGACCCTCTGGTTGGTGTGCAGTGGGGCCCCCTGGTAGGTCAGTGTCCATTTCCCTGCTGACGGGTGCAGGGGCTCCTCACTGGCATGTCTTAGGCAATGTGGATTTTATGTCTGGAAAACCGTCTATCCATGTCTCCCAGTATTTTCCGTGCTCTGGCTGTTCTCCGTTTTTCCTTATTCTCACTCTGATTATGTTCTCACCACCCTTCAACCGCAACCCCTCCAGATCCCGAGACCCACTGAAGCCGTCATGATGTCTCGGCTCTCATTCTGCTCGGCACAGCTGATCACGTTCTTGTCCTCGAACAAGACTGCTCTTCCCTCCGCCTAAAAACACTAGGTTTTAATTTCTTTCAGCATTTCTTTCTAAAGTCACCTTGTTAAGTGAGGCCTTCTGGGTCCTCAATGGCCATGATTTCTAGAAATTTCAACAGACTGGCTTCTCATGTTTCATAACCCCCTTCCCTTATCTCCCCAGGCCTAATCATCATCTAAAATAATGTATATCTTACTCATTTATCTTATTTATTGCCTGCCTCTTTCACTAGAATGGAAGTTCCTTGAAAGGAGGGGTTAAAAAATCATCTTTAATTTCTCAGTAATGTTTATCGTTTTCAGCATACAGGTCTTGCCCATTTTCTGTTAAATTTATCCTCAAGTATTTAGTATTATTGATGTTTATATATATAAAAGGTATCAATATCCACTTGTTTATTGCTTACAAATGGAAATAGAACTGATTTTGGTAACTTGAACTCATGTTGTGCAGCCTTGCCAAACTTCATTAATTGTTCCAGCAAGTATTTTTCTGTAGATTCCTTGGAATTTTCTAAATAATCTTAATTTTTATGGATATAGTTTTTTTTCTTCTTCCTTTCCTGGCTGGATACTTCTTGCTTCTTTTAATAGCCTAGTTACACTCTAGGCAAATGCTGGCGTATGGCTGAGCAGCAGCCACGCGAGCGGACAGCTCGCCTCTCTCCCGACACTCTTGTCTGTTTAGCATGATGTTCGTGATGTTTCTGCAGGTGCCTTTTATCAGGCTGAATGTATTCTCATTTACTTCTACCTGGCTCAGAGTTTCTGTAATTAAATGCTGAATTTTGTAATGAGTGTTAAAATTTCCCAAATGCTTTTTCTGCAGTTGTTGAGATGATTATATTGTTTTGCTTTTTCAGTCTGTCAATAGGGTAAATTACGTTGTTTGATTTTCAGACGTTAAGCCAAACTTGTATTCCCGGATAAACTCTATTTGGCTGTGAGGCATCACCCCTTTGATATACTGCTAGGTTCCATTTGCTAATATTTTGTTGAGGATTTTTGCACCTGTGTTCATGAGGGAACGTGGTTTGTGGTTTTCTTTTCCTGCAATGTCTTTGTGCTTTTAACTATTAATAATATTTTTATATCAATATAGGACTATTTAGGTTATCTACTTTCTCTTCAGTGAAATCTGATCACTCAAGGACTTACTTATTTCATTTATGGTGTCAAATTTATTGATATAGGCTGTTCACAATATTTTCTATGATCCCTTCAGTGTCTGTAGTGACGGCCTCTCCTCTGTTCCTGATACTGGTTGTTTTCTCCTTCATCTTCATTTTTGATCAACTATCTTGATCTTTTCCAAAAAACAGCTTTGGGTTTTATTTCCTCTTTTATTTTTCTCTTTTCTGTATGGTTGATTTGTTCTCTTTATATTTTCTTCTGTGAAATTAGGTTTCTCATTTTTCCCCATAGCTTCCTAAAGTGAAAGCTTAGATCTAATATGAGCACCTAAAGCTATAGATTGCCCTTTAAGCACTGCTTAGCTACATGTCATACATTTTGATACTACACATTTCTATTTTCCTTCATTGAAAAATACCATCTAATTTCCATCTGATTTTTTCTTTGGCTGATTTCTTATTTAGAAGCATGGTGTTTCATTTCCAACCATCAGGATATATTCCAGATTTATTTTTGTTATTGATTTCTAGTTTAATTTTGCATTTGTTAAGGAACAAATATAATTTTCAAACTTTCATATATACTGTTGAGTGGCCCAGGCTATGGACTATCTGGGCGAGTACTCCCCATGCACCCAGAAACTTGGTGCACTCTGCCATTGGTGAGCGGTGTGGTCCACAAACACCGTTAGGTCTGCCGGTTACAGTGTCTCCAAGACTTCTCGATCTCTACTGATCCTTTTTTCTACATGTTATGTCAATTACTCAGGATTATTGGGATCTCCAACTATAATTGTGGATTTGTCTATTTTTGTGTTTGGTTCAAACACAGAACTATTACAGCTCTACTGCTAGTTGTATACACCTTCAGGATGCTTATGTCTTAGTGAACTGACTCCTTTATCATTATGAACTATTTCTTTTTATTTCTCATAATATTTCTATTCTGTAGTCTATTTTGTTGGATATGAATATAACCATTCAGGCTTTACTTTGGTTAGTATTTGGACAGTATCTCTTTTTACATCCATTTAATTTTAACCTATGCCTTTATGTTTAAAGTATATATCATAGGCAGCTTATAATTGGGTCTGGCTATTAAATCCTAAAATCCTCCAGGAGTAGTAAGGGCAGCTTGTGGACAGAATGATGTAGGAAATCTTCCACCTTATATCGCATTAGATTTCTGCTCATGTCCTGCCCAAGAAAGTTCTAACATGTCCCAGAGATTTTGTGTGTGTATGTTTGTGGGTTATATGCCAATGCTTAGATAGGAGAAAGGATTTAGGCAGAAGTCTTATATTAGGTTACATTTAGGAGAGCTGGTCTATCTCACCACATTTAAAGTCTCTTCTACGAAAAGACGGATGTACTGTTTACAGGACTAGAAATTCATTTTACTTACATTTCCACCAAAAGCCTACCTACACACTGCCCATATTTAGCATTCCTGGCACTTGTCATTCTATTATGTAGCCCCAGCTTTTCGTTTGATATATTCTTTCTGACTCCAAAGAACATCCCTTCAATTTCTCCAAGGGCAGGTGTGTGACCACTGAATTCTCCAAGTTCTTTATTTTTGAAAGATATTTTCTGCTGCATCTAGAATTCTAGGTGGAGTTTTATTTTTCTCCCAGTACCTTACCAATACCACTCCACTGTCTGGCTTGCAGAGTCTGGCAAGAAGTCCACTGTCATTGCTGGGTTTTTTTTCTGTAGATCATGTTTCTTTCCTTTGGCTGCCATTAAGGTTCTGTTTGCCACTAGTTTTTAGGAACTTGATTATACTATCCTTTGGTGTGGTTTTCTTTGTTTATTATGCTTGTGGCTTATTGAATTCTTGTATCAAACTTTTAAAAATAAGTCATTATTTCTTCAAAAGTTTGTTTTGTCTTTCTTCTCTCGATGAGCCTTAAATAACAGGTGTATTAGTCTTCTTTCTATCGCTCAACATGTC